GGGGCGTTATCGTTCACATCCAGGACCGTGATGAGCAGTTGCACTGTGCCCGTGAGTTCAGGTTTGCCCCCATCTGTGGCTGTCAGTATTAAGTGATGCTCTGGAACTTCCTCTCTGTCTAGCGGTTTTTTCAACACTAACTCAACCAATTTACTTTGGTCATTCTTTGATCTTACTTCTAAAATAAAATAATCATTGGTGCTGAGTCTATAAGTAAGTAAGGCATTAGAGCCAATATCTGGGTCAGAAGCTCCCTCTAGAGGAAACCTAGAGTCCGGCAATCTGGATTCAGGAATAAACAGCCTTTGTTCCTTCACTGGGAACAAGGGTGGGTTGTCATTAATGTCCTTGATCTCCACCTCTACATGGAAAACCTGCAGCGGTTTCTCCACGATCACCTCCAGGTGGATGCTACAAATAGGGCTGCGGCCACAGAGCTCCTCACGGTCGATCCGTGAATTCACAAACAAAATGCCATTCTGCACATTTACCTCCAAGTAGTCCCTGCTGCCTTTGGACACCACCCGGAACAGCCTCGACACCAGCTCCCCGACCTCCAGACCCAGGTCCTGCGCGATTCGTCCCACGAACGTACCGTGTTTCGCTTCTTCCGGCACCGAGTAATGGACCTGGCCGCTCCCCACTTCCCAGGATGTGTGGAGCAGAAATAAGAGCAGCAACTGCTGGGCTCCCAAGACGCCTCCCCAAGAAAACACCATCGCAAACACTCCTTGCTTTATTCCAAAGAGTAGTTCAAATACTGGAATAAGGGTAAATGTAGGTGTTCGTTTCCTCCAGTCTTATTCTGCAGCAGCCGCCATTGCTTTGTATCATTAAGACAAAACAGAGCCTCTTTCCAAGACCCAAAAGATGGTGTTTAGCGATATTCCGTGGTCGACAGCGACATCATGTGGCTCCAAACCGTAAGTCTTCATGGCGTAAAAAAGCAGTTCATATATTGCCCATCATTTAATTTTGTTTGAGGAACTTTGGTTTACATTTTTCTAGTTTTTCAAGTTCCTGTAGAAGGGAACTGCAGTTTTCTTCCTCGGAAAAAAGAATACTTGCATTGTGACTGCTTCTGCTGCTTAGCTCTTAAGGAAATGGTGCTTTGGTTCTTTTATGTCTTTGAATTGGTTTCGAATTTTCAGAAAGAAGTTAATGTAATAAGGAAAGAAAATGAGCTCAGTACTTCCTGTTGTAGAGGTGGACATTTTGCACATTTGAGAACACCGAACAGGAACTCTAGAAGAGTACTGGATGGGAGAGTCACAAGAGTCAGAAGTCTTGGGTCTGATTCCTGAAGGCTGCTTACTGTGGCCTTGGGCAAATCACTTACCCTCTCAGAGTCCATTTCTTCACATGTTAATTGGAGATAAAAAATGCTAGTTGGGCCAGAAAATCACTTTGTATATTTTAAAGTACTATAGAAATGTGAATAATATTATCTTGCATCATAAAATATTTAGGTTGCATTTTTAAGTAGTGAATAAATATCAAATGCCACTGTGTGCCAGGCACTATGCAAAGCACTTAGGATACAAAGAAAGAGAAAACAGCCCCTGCTCTCAAAGAACACACAGTCTATTGGAGGAGACAACATGCCAACAACTACTTATGAACAGTTTATATTCAAAATAAATTGGAAATAATCAACAAAAGGAAGGCACTAGAATTAAAGATTTGGAAAGGTTTCTTGTAGAAGTTGGGATTTGGGGTAGGCCCTGCAGGAAACTAAAGAATCCATGAGGTGGAGATGAGTAGAGAGAACATTCCACATTGTAGGACCACTAGCCAAAATGCCCAGTGTCAAGAGATGGAGTGTGTTGTTTGAGGAACAACAAGGAGGCCAATGGCACTGGATTGCTGAGTATTTGGATGAGAGGGAGGTTGAAGGGTTATGTAAAGTGTAAGATGACTAGAAAAGTAGAAGGGCAACTTATCAAGGGCTTTGTATGCTAAAAAGAGGATAGATCATACTCTATTCTGGAGATGATAATGAACCACCGGAGTTTCCCCTAAGAGTGGCCTGATTAGACCTACACTTAAGGAAGATCACTTTGCCAGCTGAGTGGAAAATGGGTAGAAAGACTTATGGCAAGAAGGCCTACCCAGTAGACTATTACAATTGTCCAGGCAGGAGGTGATAAAGGCCTGAACCAGGGTGATTGGATGTGTCAGAGAAGAAAGGCACATTCAAGAGATGTTAGGAAGGCCAAATCAACAGCCCTCAGCAAAAAGTGGATATTGGTGGTGAAAGAGTGCAGAGTCAAGGATGACATCTAGGTTGCAAGGTTAAGGAACTGGGAAAATGGTGGTACCCTCAACAGTAATAGGTAAGATAGGAAGAGAGAAGGGTTTGTGGGGAAAGATAAATACCAATGAGGAACATCCTAGGAGTCAACCTTGGAGTCAGAAAAACCTGGATTTAAGTCATACATTAGATACATACTCACTGGGTGTAAAAGCTGGGGCTGTAACTTAAACTCTCAGTGCTCCCAGGCAACTCTTTAAAGACCCTTAGCTGCAGAACAAATGCTGATCTGCGTAACAGAAGGTCTTCTCTCACTGGCAGTTTTCTACTCCAGTTACATTAACAGGATGAAATTTTTGTTTAAAAAAAAGTTACAAGGGCAAGTAGGTGGTGCAGTAGATACAGCTTGGGCCCTGAAGTCAGGAGGACCTGAGTTCAAATCTGTCCTCAGACCAAACACTTGACACATACTAGCTGTGTGAACCCGGGCAAATCACTTAACCCCAATTGCCTAAAAAAAAAAAAATTTTAAATAAAAAAAAAGTTACATTCTAATTGTTACTCACACAATCTCCAACATCTCGTAGATTTTTTCTTTTCCTAATACATTTGATTTAATAACCCAAGAAATTAGATTATTTTTCAATAGCAATTCTCTTTGACCTCACCGTAATGTTGAAAAGAAAAACTTCATTCCATAAAGAATTCCCTTTCTCCTTTATTTCTGCATACATAAATCCTATTCATTCTTCAAGGACTAGTTCAATGCCATCTCCTCTGAATTCTTATAGCACATTATATTTCTTTTCAGTCATTTATTTCATAGTTCCTTTGCATAGTTATTTATGAGCCTTATCTGAATTATTAGTCTAATTCTTCCTTGATGTCATCTAGTTTGTCAGCCATTTTTGTATGTTTGTCTGTGTTTAGCATATAACCTTTCTTTAAAGTAGGCACTCAGCAAATACTTTAATATACTGAATGTATGATAATAATTCTAATTCTTCTTTATTAGCTTGGGGGGGATGAAGTTTTTAAAGGTCTTTAGACAATGCTAGTTTGTTTATGGGTTATCTAGAAAATGTGCTGAGGATCATCCAAAGAGCAAAATCCAGTCCTCCACTGGTGAGGATCCTCTTGCTTTTTGATACTCACTATCAGAAAAGTAACTAGGTCTTGTGTTCTTAGTTCAGTTTCCTAGGTCCCTAATAAGACTTTTTAATAGGCATGGCTCTAATGAATGAAAACCCTTTGCTTTTTAATTTTTCAATAATTCATTGAAGCTAGCTTTTTTCCCTTTCAATCCTGCTCATCTCCATTACTGAAATGGTCATTATTTACCATCATATTATGATTAAATACTAGTTTCTTTCTGAATACATTAAAAGTTCAACTGAAATTTCTTATGTGAAAGAAATTAGTTACAGAGTGTCATGTTATCTCCCATAAAATTTTGGTGCTTTCTCCCTTATTTCAAAGCCCCACACCTTTATTCCTTTTAAAGAAAGAAAAACGTAAAGTGAATGTTGAAAGCTAAAAAATAAATAAATTTTAAAAAAAAAAGAAAAACATAACTATTAATGAAATAGATTTAGTGACCCCTGCTTCTATGAGCTGCTAATTGTAACAAATAATACTTCTGATATAATGTCATGATTAGAAATACATATTGCAGATTCTGAATCTCAGAGACTCAAATTTAATGTTCTCGTAAAATTCATAAAGTTGTCCAACACATTGGCCGTTGATAAAAAAAAATCCCTATACCTTCAATATCCTTTATATTAATAAGCATCAACATTTCTTCCATCCAAATAAGGAACCTTAGGGTATTAGAGAGACCTGGGGAAAGTCAAGACATGCAACACATGAGAAATGGAAATAATGATCCTGACCAATCATTAGATGCTTATTGACAGTCTAGTCTGTGCTCAGCACAAGAAGAAATATGCCTGATCCAGCAAAATGGCCAAAATCCCTTAACCATCATGGATATAATATCTGAATTGGTTCTTTTTTAAAAGGAGAGAGATTTGGTATCAACTTAAATGTAACCATTTACACAAAACAATTCTCTTAAAACCAATAAGATTTTCTATTTTTTTGTAAAAATGATATTACTAAATATCTTCATATGAAATTTCTGTATTCTGACTAACAGACAAGTTTATGAAAAATGAGAGAGAGAGAGAGAGAGAGAGAGAGAGAATCAAGGAAAGAATAATGGATAATTTTGATTATAGAAAATAAAGAAATATGTGCACAAACAAAACCAATTCAGCTAAAATTAAAAGAAGGAACCTAGGGGGAAATTTATTACAGGATATTTCTCTCATAAAGGCCTCATTTTGCAAATATATAGGGAACTGAGTCAAATTTATAAAAATAAGAGCCATTCTCCAATCGATAAATGGTCAAAAGAACAAGTAGTCTACAAGAAGAAGAAATCAAAGTATTAATAGTCACATTAAAAAATGCTCTAAACCCTTATTGATTAGGGAAATTCAAATTAAATCAACTCTGAGACACCACCTCACATCTATCAGATTGGCTAATATGACAGAAAATGAATTTGACAAATGCTGGAGGATATATGGAAAAATAGGTACACTAATGCACTGTTGGTGTAGTTATGGACTGTTCCAACCATTATGGGGAAACAATTTGGAACTATGACCAAAGGACTATAAAACTGTGCATACCCTTTCACCCAGCAATATCACGAGTTGGTCTATATGCCAAAGAAATCAAAGAAAAAGGATAAAGACCTATATTTATAACAGCTCTTTTTGCAGTCTAAAGGAATTGGAAACTGGGGAGTTGCCCTTCAATTAGAAAATGGCTTAACAAATTATGGTATATGAATGTGATGGAGTATTATTTGCTGTAAAATGAAGGGAATAGTTTTAGAAAAAACTGGGAAGGCTGGTGTGAAATGATGTTAGGTGAAGTGAACAAAACAAAGATAAAAATTAATACAATAACAACCATATTGTAAAGATTATCAACTTTGAAAGACTCTATAACTCTGGTTAACACAATGACCAACCACAATTCAAAGGGCTGCTAGGTGGTGCAGCCAATGAATAGAGTGTCAGGCCTGGAATCAAGAAGACCCAAGTTCAGGTCTGGCCTCAGACATTTACTAGCTGTGTGACCCGGGAAAGTCACTTGACCCTGTTTACCTCAGTTTCCTCATCAGTACATTGAGCTGAAGAAGGAAATAGCAAACCACTTTCTTTGCCAAGAAAACCCCAAATGGTATCATGAGGAGTCAGATATGACTGAACAACAACAACATGATGAAACATGCTGTCCATTTCCAGAGAGAGAGCTGATGGACTCAGTGTAGAATGAAGCATGTTTTCTTCTCTTTCTATTTCTATTTTAATGGACATGGCTAATGAGGGAATTTGTTTTGCATGATTTTAAATATTTTTATAGGTTTAGTTTCTCTTGCTTTCT